AAAGGAATGGCATTTTGGTTCAGGTTTCCCAGAAGCATACCCTGAGAAGAGAATTTAGATGCCAGTAGTTTGTTTGGGATGTAATACTGGAAGTACTTGAGGGAATGAGGAAGTGAAAAAGGGTAGACAGTTAGCTAAGGAAGCTCGCCTTAGCAAACAGATTAGGACTGTGGATAACTGAAGCTTCAATCTGCTGGGGGACTCTTAAGAGCCCGGGAAATATATGCATCTCAGAGTTTTTGTTCCTTAGGGCCTGGACCTGGGGTCTGTACACACCAAGTCCCATGGTCCTTGCTAGAGGACTCATTCTGGGGGCAGTGATCTTCAGCACCTCAGCACAGGTGGAGAAGTGATGGGTTCACCAGCAGGACCCGCTACTAGTGATCTGCTGCCCTCAGAGCCCCTTTTTCTCTTCTTGTCAGAGCCTCAGCATCCTCAGGGCCGTCACAGTTACCATCAGCACCGTTTTCAGTCCATTTTTATAATTAATGCCAGGATCTGTGGAGTCTGGAGAAAATTGGGTCTTTCTGTTTATTTGCCAAAGAAACATTTGCCAAGTGTTTTCTATGTAGAATTTCTAGACATTTGTGAGAATAAGTATCATTTGGTCAAAATCCCATCATAGTCATAGGGTAATGTTGGATAAAACCGAATGCAAGAATCCTATCTAATAAAGAGGGAATATGCTAATTGACCCTCATGCCCTTGCAAAGATGGCAGTGCCCACAGCCAGTAAAGATGGAATATGCTAATCAATTGCCCTGCCCTTAAAGATGGCAGTGCCCACAGCCAATAAGGAGGGAATATGCTAATTGACTGCCATACCTCAAAGATGGTAGCACCTAGTCCATTTAGCCCCCCAGCTGCCCAGGGCTGGCCCAAGGCACAGGAAAGCCAAGCCTTGGATGGCAGCTGCCCAGCTGCCCAGGGCTGCCTGAGGCTCAGGTAACAAGGGCTGACTGAAGTTTATGCTGCTGGCAGTGGCAGCAGCAGAGGTGTGAAGGGCTGTCACCTTCTCCTGATCACCGGGTTACCTCCTGCCCCTGAGGGCTCCTGGACTGTGAGAGGGGTTAAGACAGGCTGAGGGAACCGCCCCCCCCCCCCCACCTCCAGTGCATGAATTTTCATGCACCAGGTCTCTAGTAGTTTAATAAAAAAACATCCCCTAAGTAATATATGAAGGCTATGGTGAGCTTACTGGCATTTTTGTTCTCTAAAGAAGTTAAAATATTTATTTTTGTGATGAGTCTGATGCAAAGAGGACAGGGAAGGCTGAGAGACACAGCAGCTGTTCAGAGGGCTCAGCTGACATTGGACAGAGTGGAAAACCTACGTTATTTCACCTTTGTCTTCCTGGGATGTTCCTTCTCTTTTGCTTTCTTTTCACTCCTTTGTCCGATTCTTATTAGATAATGAAATAATGAAACCTTAGTGTTTTGTTTTTTTTTAAAAATAGTTTTAACAGTTTAACAGTATTATATACATCTATGTGAAATTGAGTTCATCTTGAGATGCTGGATCTACCTGCTTTCTCACTGTGTGCTCTGCATAACATCACACAGTAGGTAGCTTACATTCAGACACTTGATACCAAATCCATGTTCCTTTCTTTGTGCCATCCACTGACTGCAAATTCTCTTCTATTTTAGCTCCTACTTGCGACTAAAGACACTTTTCAATCTCATATTTATAATTATTTAACTGAGTTCTGGCTTTTGGTCTGAGATGTCTATCACTTCAATAATACCACACAACTTGCCCATTTTATAATGCCCATCTGGTAGTTGTCTAAGTCAGAAACCGATCATTTTGTAAATTCTGGCACTGGGATGTGGATTAATTTTCTTCTGAAGGTTACGATAGTGTTACCTCAATGGACTATGCTTAGCGCTCAATAACTGTTATCTGTTATTAGATGTTAGTCAAGATGATTATAGTTCTTAAAGGACTTCAGGCATTCTCACTGCCAGGTCTGCTTCTGATACCTCAAACAAAACAAAACAAAACAAAACAAAACAAAACAAAACATTATTTTTTATTTCTCAGTGCCCAGTGCTAATAACAAAACAAAACAAAACAAAACAAAACATTATTTTTTATTTCTCAGTGCCTGGTAGCCAGCAGTATGTGCAGAGTGTAGGTTGCCTGGTGTGTAATGTGCCTACTTCCTTTTCAAAAGGGAAGAGGGCACATCCGACAGAACAAAGCAGTGTCATTGTGGATTGTCTCCTATGGAGGGGAGGAAGGGACATTTAGATTAAATGCAATTTTGGGGGGAAGGAGAGAGGGAAAAACTACTAAAACTATATACAAAATAATAGCAATGTCACTTTAAAAGTCTTAGGTTATATCCACTATGTATAGTCAAAATTCTGTGCTCGGTGGTCCCTTGTAGTCATTATTTGTGAGGTTACATCACCAAGCTTATATTCAGTTAGGTTCATTGGTTTCTATTTATTTATTAATTTTAGGAATTGCTTCTTTTTTGGTTTGTTTTATTAATAAAGGTCATTTACCCCAATTTCAAAGTCAACACTATATTACACGTTATAGCCAGATATGTCTTGCTTTCCTCCCTATTCCTCTACCCTCTTCCTTCCCCCGTTTTTGCTTTTGTTTCATTTTCCATTCATTCTTTTTGTAGCTATAAGCAAGTGTGTATACTGAGGCATACCCGGTTTTTCTTCCACAAAATTAGCCTACTGTATCTGTGGCACTGTATGTTGCTTCTTCTTTTGTCATGTCCTGGAGATTGCCCATGTGCATATGTCATTTTCTTATAATTATTTTTGGCCTGTGGATGCCATAGTTTATTTAACCCCCTGCCCCCTTCCAATGAGAGGCCCTTAGATTCTTTACAGTCTTTTTTGTTGTAAATAATGCTCCAATGCACTGCACATGTCATTGCACATCATTATATTTAGCAGTGGAGTCAGAAGGTCCATGCAGTTTTGCTCATTACTGCCCAATTTCCTTCCATTGCGTTCCTTTTGCATGACCACCAGCCGTGTCTGAGACTGTTTCTCTGTAGAACTAGAAATTGGGTTTATGTTTTTTTTTTCCATCTCAATTGATTTTAGGCATGTGTTTTAGAGACTATAATTCATATTTCTCTAGCAGTCATAAGTCTGTGTGTGCCATCAGAATTTAGTGACAACTGTTCTAAGGTGACATGAGAATGGGCAGCTGTGCTTAGAATTCAGACTTTGCCTGTTTCCATGGTGCTGGAGTTTCAGGGCAAAACTGAGCAAACCACACATCCACTTGGAGAACTCCAAATACTTCCCAAAGGCTACAACTCCAAATCACACTAGGGGTTTGGGGGAATATATTCAGTCCATAAAGGGAGCCCCTGGAGTACCCATGTGATTAGGTAAACTGGGCAACTGGTCCCTGAGATAGGATTTCTGGGTTGCATCTCAGTTTGAAGTATAGATTTGGATATGTGTATATAATGGCGGTACATGCAGCCAGAGGAGTGTGTATGATCTCCCACAGAGAGAAGTGGAATGAAAAGAGAACAGGTCTGCAGTCAGAAATCTGAGAAACAGTGACATTTAAGAAATGGACCAGAGAAAAAGACCCATAGAAGGAGATCAAGGAGTAGTTAGAGGGCAAGGGAGCAGCCGAAATGTGTTGTCAGAAAAGCAAGGCATTGAGGCAGGGCACGGTGGAGGGGGCAGGCTGGAGTACCCGTTATAGAGTTCAGTTAAGTGAGGGCTCATAAAGGTAGGCGGGATTTAGCAACATGGACGTCATTTCCAGTACACAACGCAGTGATTAGACACTTATGGAACTTATGATGTGACCACCCTGGTAAGTCTAGTGTCCATCCAAAAAGTTCCCTTTAGAATTGCATTTTGAGTCTTATAAGAAGAAAGCATTTCAAGTGAAATATTTTACATACATTGACTCATGTAGGAGAGGAGTGATGGGACAGGCATAAGGTTGGATGTTTCCTGAAGAAAAGAGTGCAAGTTGCATTCTAGTTGGCAATAAGAGAAAGAGACAGATGATGAAGGGAAGTAAGAGCACCCATGGTGCAAATTTGATCGCAAGCTGATTTTAAAAATTTAGATTGTATTTTCAAAATCAATTTTTGCTTCTCTCCTAATGACCACTGACTCTCATTTATGTTTAGTCCTGTGGTCTATGCTTCTCCACTCAACACCAGTTGTAGATGGAAACATATTCGAGGTCTAGCTGTGATAAGCAATCTAGCCACTGCCTTGTGGTACAGTTAAATTTTATCCATATAGTAAAAAGTAACAAATTCTTAGAGAGGTGAAAGGATGATTACATTTCCTGTAAAAATATTGATGTTTTAAAGTGACATTCACATGATGTCTCAAAGGTGCCCCTTTGCTCTGCAGTCTTTCCTGCTTAGAAAGAACTCCTAGGGATCCGTTATGGAGCTGAGATTTTAGCAGCTTTGACTCTGTGATTTATTCCCCAAGGAACCTCCTACAGACTTGGGAGAGGAAATAATGTTTGTTGCGTGTCCATTAAGTGTTTTATTTACCTGGACTTATTTAAGTAATATAAAAACCAGTAGGTTGTAGATCTATGATATAAACCTCAGTTTACTAACTCCAAAGTCGAGCCTCTGTCCACCATATAGGAGTGCCAATTAGATTCCATCTTATGGGCTGTGGCTTTCTAGAGTAGTGGGATGGGAATGATGCTGAGGATGCACACAGGCTCAGCAGAAAGCAACCCTGATGGCTTAGGAAGAGAGGAAGGGGCAGGGCAGGTCCTTTGGGTGCCATACAATGGCCACCATGTTACTACTGATGGAAGGTTCTAGATGACTTTGCAGGAGACTATCACACTTCTCTAATAAAATGTGCATGTAGGAGAAGTCCAGTGCTGATTCAGGAAGGTGTCTTTTGATGCTCCTTTATTTCATCTATGCTCTCTTTATTCCTTGTATGTAATCTCAATAACCTAACTGCTAGACTAAGGCACTGATTCATATATGTGGTATGCATGTGTTTCAGGCAGAAAAAGCGGATGGATTTGTCAACCTGCCTGACTTCACTGTGGAGAAAGCATCTGAATGCAGAAAAAAGCAGTAAGTTGTCTATCTTTTCCCACAAAACTCTGAGCCAGGATGATATCCCTTCATAAAGTTCCGTGGGTGATGTGGTGATTGGGAAGTTAATGAAAGTAACACTCAGTGTCTGAGACCTTTGAACTTTATGGGTTGGCACCCCAAACAATAATAGAAGCTATTGACCTCCTATTTTTAGGAATTGCATTTTGTGGAGCAGATGGATTTTAAAACCCCTTGGGGCTCTGGCATGGCATGTTGTTGACCATACTGACTGACAGAATTTAAAATAAGCTCCCTTCCATGACTCGCGTGGAGGTCAGATGTCAAAGTTTTGTCCTTGTGAAGAGAACGACTAGTTCAATAGGATTCTCCAGAGCTGTCAATATTATGGCAAGACTACTTTTTCTTAGTTTATAATAGCATTCTTAGTAGAAATCTTGAAATTGAATTCTCTTGATGTCTTAAATGTGGGGATGACAACTTGATATAATTTAAGTTCCAAAGATTTGAGAAAAAATAGGGAAAACAGTCACCAGGCATGGTCCTAGTTTTATTGAGAAGGGAATAGCCCAGAGAATTTGGTGTTGGTTAGAACTCATGGAAGGGCTGGCTCTAGACCAGCTAGCCAGCCTCCCAGTCAGGTGCTCTTGACAGCATCCAGCTGCATTTTGCATATGTGTCCTCTTCACCTTTTTCTTACTTTTTCTTCTATCTTTGACATCATTTTCTTTTTTGTTAGAAAAGGGTATTTCCTATTGATCTACATTACTAGTATTAGCAGCTAATTTGCTTGTTTCTAAAAAAATGAATAAACTGGTGCTAGCTTTAAGTCCTTACCACTCTGGTGTAGCTACACCTATCCAGTGATACATGAGTTTGTGATGATTCTTGTAGTTTAGACCAAACTTTTTATAAATGTCCTTGCCTCGTACTGTAGAACTTCCGGTCTAAATGGTAAAGGGGAAACACTTTATTATTTGTTATCTTTAATGTTTTATACTTTTATTTGAAACTGAAAGTCTACCTTATATGTTTTATGTGCTAAAGAGTGGCTGGATAAGGTTTTTGATAGGTTATCACAAGTTCTATGCTTGATTATTTTCGTGTAAACGAATTCTCATACATATTTGATTGAATTAAGACTGTTCTTGAAGGAGTTGACCTAAGTATTTTGAAGTGACACCTCTATCACCCTACATTTTAATGTATCATCTCAATAGCAAAGTAGTTAGCAAATGAAAGTGAAAGAATGTGTCCATATGTTTTAAATAGAAACCACTGACCAGCTAAGATACAGTCCTGTTGTGGATGTTCATACATGATGGATTAACCCTCTGTTTTTGAAATGAAATAGAGATTAGACAATGGATATTTAATGTGACTAAATTATTTTCTGTAGAGTTACAAAGAAAGCAGGTGCACTTACTGTAGTTATATTTGACTGATTTATTTCAAACCCACTGATGACCACAAGCACTAATTTTGTATGTGTCTGTGCTTTTCCCCTTCAAGTGCTTTCAAGATCAGCCATCCACAGATCAAGACCTTTTATTTTGCAGCTGAGAATACACAAGAAATGAATGTGTAAGTAGAGGAAATGGATAAATCCAATCTCTATGGGAATAGTCTTACTTTGGTCAGATGTTTGAATTTTAAACATATGTTCATATCAGTTATTGTTTCATAACTTCTCATGCTTTAAGGATTAATCTCTTTAGCAGCTACAGAGACTTCTTGCTTTCTTCTCTAGTATTTGGGAGCATTTTGGAGAACTATACATATCAAAGTAGCTATTTTTGGAAGAAGTAATGAGAATTCTTCTGGTGAGGAGATGAGTGTAGGGAACCTTGAGAAAGGAAGAGCCAAATAATTGTAAGAAAATGTTAAAATGAGAATCAGAATCATGGGGAGAAGGCTTTAAAGTATTACATAACTGACCTTGCAGCTTTCAGAATTCTGATCTTTACAGCGTCTCATATGTGCTGTGTGATATCATGATGATTCATGCATTTATTAGCTCTCCATGTGCAATCACAAATATTTTGCAGGACAGTTTTGCTCAGAGTATAGCTGACATAAGTTTTAGGTCCCTAATTACCTGCTTGAGGCTTTATTTTTAAAAAAATATATTTTATTGATTTTTTACAAAGAGGAAGGGGGAGAGATAGAGAACTAGAAATGTCGATGAGAGAGAAACATTGACCAGCTACCTCTTGCACACCCCCTACTGGGGATGTGCCCGCAACCAAGGTACAAGCCCTTGACCGGAATCGAACCTGGGACCCTTCAGTCCGCAGACCTCTACCATTGAGCCAATGGTAGAGGTCTGCGGACTGAGGCTTTAGAGAGCACTCTAATTTAAGCTCTCGTTTCAGAATTCTTAGACCCTCTCTCCCTCTCTCTCTCTCTCTCTCTCTCTCTCTCTCTCTCTCTCTCTCTCTTGCTCTTTTTTGTTTATTAATCCTCACCTGAGGATATTTTTTCAATTGATTTTTTTTTTTTTAAGAGAGAGAGTGGAAGGAAGGGAGAGGGGAGAGAGACACATATAGATCAGTTGATTGGTTGCCTCCTGCACCTGCCCACGGACAGGGTGAGAGATCAAACCTGCAATCCAGGTATGTGCCTTTGATTGGGAATTGAACCCAAGACCCAAGTGCACTAGGCTGACACTACAACCACTGAGCAACACTGGCTAGGGCAAGAATTCTTAGTGTCTCATATTACCTTACATAACTAATTAAAATATGTCTATGGACCACCTGCTATTGTCCCATTGTAGCAGATCTGAAGCACTAGAAATAAAGAATGCAGACATACTTCTTCCATTCATGAAGTTTATGGCTTAATCTGTTTTATTTATTTATAGATAATGACTTTTTTCTGTTCTATCTGCCTTATATAACTTCCTTTTGCCCTTTTGCTCTAGAAACTTAAAGAAAAACTGCTTTTCACCAAACATACATGAACGAGCACACACACACAACTTATAGGATATCCGTCAGCAGCCTACTCTAGCTAGAAGCATTCTCATTGGTTCCCTACCCTCATCTCCCCACCACAACCCCTCATGTGAGGGCGGAGTGGTCGAAATAACAAGGCCAGGAATTGACAACTGAGTCTTTCAAACAAGCCTTTTATTTCTGTGGAGAGAGAAGTGGTTTCTTCCCTCTTTCTGATTTTAGCTTTTCCTTCCTGGCTTTCTCAAGTGTCTGAAAAAAATAAGAGCAGGCACACAATAGGAGAAGATTTTTAAAACTTCACTGTCAAAGCTTTTTATTCACTTACAGGAGTAACGCTAAATCCTATTGATTAGCAAGCCCTAGGGGTGTGAGGGGCGTGTGGAAAGCTTAATGTCTTGCCTTGAAGTACTTAGGGCCCCAGGATGGTCTGGATCTGAGCCATCCATTAACCCCAAATGGTCCCCCCTGCCTCCCCCCCAGCCCCCTGCTGTCCCTGCTTCTTTCAAACAGCGTCTTGTATCTCCAGCTTCCTTCCTGTCTGCATCTTTCCTACCCATCCTGCGGCTGGCCCTCTCAAAGTGCTTCTGTTTTCTCTGATGAGGGGAGGGTGAGACTGGGTTTACCAGAGAAACCGTTAGTGCTCAGTGTCTTGTTACCTGTGAATTTCTCTCCCGGCATCGCAAAATACATTTGCGAACCAGTACGAAGTTATTAGACCTGTTAATTTCAGTCAGATTTGCTCTATACATCACACATCCGCATTATTTTGTTTCCTGCTCACCCTCTTTTCCAGTTTATGTGTATGTTTCTAGTCCACTTATGTTCAATTTTTGTGTTTTCCATTTGCAGAGATCTGACAGCAAGCAGAGTTACATGCGTATTAACTACTATAATAGTATAACTAAGACATATATGTATATATACATACAAACACACACACACACACACACACACACACACACACACACACACTGTCTAGTTGGCTAAGTCAAAGCCTTTCATAGTTACCGAAGCTGAGATCTTATTACTAGTCTATGCTGTGAAAATCTGTTTATTTTACTTGAAATTTATGTTAACATTTCCCTTTCCAGCTTACAAGTAAGGCGTAAGTTGAAATTTGCATGTAAGGTGTTCTGATCCCATAGTGCTGAATGACCTTTAGAGTTTAAAGCTGTCCATGCGGCCACTCATAGACAAACTGCCCATTTTATCTGGACCCAAATGTGTCATAATCTCTTTGATTGGTGACACAGCGTGAAGTTTTATTTTCCTGAAGATGGTTTTTTAATAGCCACCAATGCAGACTCTCCTGGGGCCTCCAGGCTGACTTCTCCCACAAGGTATAGTTCACGTGGAGAGGAAGGGATTGCCGCCATTGGCCCCTGAGGAGTCTCTTTTCCTACCCGGGTGGCCTGTGGAGCCGGGGCATCACGTGACTGTGTGTCTCAGCGACATGCAGAGATGCTGGGAAGGAGGACGGGAGGGCATCTGGAGAGAGGGCTCTGCTTTAGAAGCTCCCCTCCTCGGGAAATGGCACTTTTGGGGGTGACATTTCTATCTGGGACGAGGAAGGGAGAGGCAATTAAGGCTAATGGTTATGCTGTGTATTCCGAAGGGACCCTCAGTGTGTGAGGACGGGGGAAGCGGTTAGGGAAATGAAGGAACTGGTTCTGAACAGAGGCTGTGGGAGCGGCCATTCTCCCACGGTGCCTGCGGGAAGCATGTGCTTGTTTTCACATCCATTTCTTCACACTCGTGTTTCTCCAACATAACATTCACGGCAAGTCAACATACAGCACACTCTCGGAAACATCTGTCATGTCTATGTAAATACAAGTCTTTTTGTGCTTCCGTCTACTTAGCCCCAACTAGGAGCATTTTACTGCCTCCATGTTCGGCTAACGTGTTCTTAGCACAGGAGGTGCTCTGAGCCGGTGAGTGCTGGGAAGAAACAAGATTCTAAGCAATCACCAGTTTTTCACAGCAAGGAACTCACCATGGCCATTAAAAGGACATGGTTGTTGGCAAAGGGTTGAGAGGAATTTTTTTTTTTAATTGTCAATGCTCTCCCAATCTGCGATGTTTCTATATTTTCGTATCTTTGCTTGTTTCAGGCATTCTCAATTTAAAACCATTTTTTGTCTTGATAATGCCAACAGTTTTTTTTTTTGTTTTTTTTTTTGTCTATTTCACTTTTATATACTCTTTTTTGGGGGGAGTGGTTAGCTTATATAATTATAAAATTATGTATAAACTAAGAATGAGTTTATTTTTGGTATTTTAAAAGTGAATCATTAAATTTGTTGTGCTTTGCCTAATCAATGTTTAAAAATGTGCTTTTAAATATTTCTTTTAGTTAGGTGACTCATAAAATATATTCTTGTAGAAACCAAATAATACAGAAGCATGCAATGTGAAACCTTCCTATATCTGCAAATTCTCTCCCTGGGATTAACCCCTTTTTCTTAAATATATTTTGATATTTTATTATTATTATTATTATTATTATTATTATTTTTTTTTTTAGCAGAGAGAAAGGGAGAGGGATAGAGAGCTAGAAACATCGATGAGAGAGAGAGAATCATCGACCAGCTTTGGGGATGTGCCCACAATCAATGTACATGCCCTTTATCGGAATAGAACTTGGGACCTTCCAGTCCGCAGACTGACGCTCTATCCACTGAGCCAAACCCGTTTTGGCAAACCCTTTTAACAGTATGCTGTATAGGGTTCCTGAGGCTTTTTTTGTATATCAATTTGTAGATGTATACAACTATATAGTTTTAGAGTCAGCCTAAACATGTTTTTTACTTCCTTTTTTTTTTTTTTTTAAATTTTTTATTTCACAGTATGATAGGATTTTCCCAGGTCATTACAAGGCTTCCCATCTATCCTTTTATTAGCTCCATTATAACACAGTACTGATAGAATCAGTGCCATACTTTACCCATTTTCCCGTTGATGGACAATTATATTGTATTAGAGGCCCAGTCAGTGCATGGATTCATGCACTGGTGGGATCCCTCAGCTTGTTTTGTGGGGATTGGGGCGAAACTGGCTCTCCGACATCCCCCGAGGGGTCCCGGCTTGCGAGAGGGCAGTTCTCGGGTGACACAGCCTGGATCGGGCTCTCTCCTCTCTGGTTCTGGGTGCAACACCCAAGAACCACAGCTGCCAAGTCACTGCAGCTCGGCAGCTCCTGTATTGAACATCTGCCCCCTCATAGTCAGTGTGCATCATAGCTACCGGTCAGATGGTCGAATGGTCGGACAGTTGCTTAGGATTTTATATATATAGATAATGTTTTATTTTCTTGTTTTTGTCATTTATTTGTGTATATGAAGTTGTGGTTTGTAGGCTAGATGTTTATAATTAGACTTGTTGGGCAAAAAAGGATGAATATTTAACATTTGAATACTATCAATGAATTGCCTGCATCAATTTTCATGTTCAATTCAACAAACATTACAATGTTTTCTCCTAAATTCTTGAAATCAGAGATATTTAAAATGCTGCCCATCTAGTGGTGAAAAATATTTTCCTGTGTTTGAATGTGCATTATCCAAAATACAGTTGAAGCTGATAATTTTGTCCATGTGTTTATTAGCCATTTGCATTTTTTTGATATGATTTCCTGCCTACTTGTTTTGTTGTTTGTTCTGTTGAATCTTGATGAACATTTTCCAGTGCCTGTGGCATGATCTGGGCCCAGGTGTTATTCCAGTTTTAAGTGGCCATTAAGAGATTACGTGTTTCTTATGGTGCTAAAGGGGTTTTCATAGATGAGGCTGGGATTCATCTTTTCCTGGCAGGCAGTCCTATTTTATTTATTTTTAACAATCAGATTTATTTTATATTTGCTGTTAAATGTTTAAAAATGCAGCAAAGCCATAGAAGGTGGAGGACTGGGTAAAGATTCCTAACTTATTGACAGATGGAAACGTGCAATACTTCTGTCCTTGTGTGTGGCCAGAGAATTGTTCATGAGGCATTACAGATCTCAGGGACATGAAAAATATAAGTGAATCTCAAAGTACATAGCACTGTGATTTTGTTGGTGTTGGTAGACTTTGGCCACTATTAAAAACTCTGGTTTCTCAAAAGTACTACACAATAAGGAACATTTTTTAAAAATATAGAAAACTGGCAAGATGTGGAAAATTAATTGCTTAGATGATCACCGCCCCCAAATAATATTTTCCCTTTAAATAGGTTATATAGTTAGGAGCATATGAAATAGACCTTTTATATCTTTTTTAAAATTCTGTATTATAAAATATGTTCCTAACAAAACCCTTGAGAAAGAACTGCAGTAGCCTGAAGTCATAAACCAAGTTTGACTGCCATAAGGGTCATCTAGTTCTATTTTCATTACTGATGTTTAGTTCGAATTCATTGCCAACAAAATGGTAAATCAATAGAAGAGATGACATTGACAGTTTTTGCTTTACGTCACATTATTCAAGGAATTAAAAATTTCCCCAGGTTAGGAATATTTAGCTCTAGCCAGATATTTTATTGATTAAATTAAATAGCTCTAGCCAGATATTTTATTGATTAAAATAAAAACTCTGGCTTAAAAAATGTATCATCTTTTCTTTATTTTCATGTGAAATAAACAGATATTTTATGAATTACAGAGATAAAACTTTAATGGTAAAGTTACTAAACTTAATAATAAGGATTTTCATGGTTGCTAACACCTTAAAATGGACAATTGCAAAAATATATTTGTTCATATATTTAGAATATATAATGCTGTCACCCACAGTAGTCATCTGGATAATGGGCCACCTCATTTCTTTTCTTGCAAGTAAGTGAGTGGCCTGGCTGGCATGTCTCAGTGGTTGAGCATTGACCTATGAACCAGGAGGTCATGTTTTGATTCCTGGTCAGGCCACATACCCAGGTGGAGGGCTGGATCCTCAGTGTGGGGTGTGCAGGAGGCAGCTAATCAGTCATTCTCTCTTCTCATTGATGTTTCTATCTCTCTATCCCTCTCCCTTCTTCTTTAAAATCAATAAAAAAATATATTTTAAAAAGAGTGCCCTAAGTCAGTGTTTTTCAACCTTTTTTGGGCAAAGGCACACTTGTTTCATGAAAAAAATCACGAGGCACACCACCATTAGAAAATGTTAAAAAATTTAACTCTGTGCCTATATTGACTATATACAATATAAAGTAATTCTCTTGAATAGGAATCAAATAAACACAAAGAAAGTATTTTACAATTACTTTATTATGAAATATTAAGTAAACAAAATAGTGAAAAATTATAAAATTCTTGTCTTGTCTGCACCTACAGCACACCAGGCAACATAGTGTGCCGCGGAACAGTGGTTGAAAAACGCTGCCCTAAGTAATGAAAATATTATGAAACCAGAATTCTTAGGGTTCGATACCACAAATTTGTGCTGGAAATATTTGGACTGAGCGTAGGATTATGACAACTTTATTATAAAGTATGACCAAAACCTTCCTTCAGGGTCTAGGTCAAAGGTGAATCTCTTTGGTCAAATGTTTTTTTTCTATTTAAATTATAGGTGGTTAAACAAGCTTGGATTATCTGTAACCCATCATGAATCCACTACAAAGGATGAAGGTATGTTCTATTTTAAAATTATGAAAATCTAGCAAGAAAATTAGAATAGGATGAAATAAGGTGAGAAAACCATATCAAGTTCTATGCATTGCCTTGTCCTAATGAAACACACGTTGGCATTTAAAATTATCTGAAAACATGCAGAGACAATCGCACAGACTTGCCAGCATGGAATTGAGCTTCCTCTGCTGGCTATGCATGCTGTTCACACTTCACCCACTCGTTAGCAACTGGAAGCTTCAACGACATCTCACACAATTGCCAATGCAAATGTTTCATCGCCTCACTTACTGGATTCTTACTCATAGGCATCATCTCAACATGATTTAGACAGATAACTTTCATCCCACTGCTTCCTTTCTGATATTTTAGTATTTCCACCAGATGAGTGCTCAGAGTAATTACCTGACGTTTGCATTGGGAACCTGAAGGTCAGATTGGGACACAGGCCGAGTGTCAGTCTTTGAGCCCAGTCTGTAGCTTTCAGCATACACAGCTACAAGTTTCTGATTCTTCTTAATGATGCAAGTGCTCCTTCTTATGGAAAAGAAGAGGCGTTAGGTGCCAAGGTCACAGAGCTGATGCTATTCTGAAATGCGCACACCACACAAAACTTGGGAATTGAAACTAGAGGATTGTATCTTTGGATAACAAAATCAAACAATCTTAATTTAGAAATAGAAAAGTGGCAACTAGGCTTAACACAATAGAGAGGTACATTATAATATTGTGAAATCAATCTGCTAACTATTGCCCATAAAATAAATGGTTCTAGTTTTAAAGTCAGAGGGAAGGCAGGGAGGATAGGTGGGTGGGAAGAGATCAAATAAAGAACTTATATCCATATATGCATAACCCATGGACACAGACAACAGGGTGGTGAAGGCATGGGGTAGGGTCAGGGGAGGTGGGTTAAAAGAGGTCAATGAGGGGAAAGGGGGACACATGTAATACTTTCGACAATAAAGTTTAAAAAAAATAAAGTACATTGATATGTTGAAAAAAATAACTACATAAGAGCCTGGTGTGTAAGGCCTTCCATGATATGGCCTCAAGGAACTTTTCCGTTTCTTTTTCCACCATCTCTTTTAGGGACTTCATATCGTTGCCCTGTTGGCCTGCTACCAACATCACTCTTGGCACCATTGATGGTTTACTTATTCTTTCAATTTCAGCTCATTATGGTTCCTGGGATCAGAATTAATCACTATTGATTGTATGCTCTCTTAATATATGAGGAAATATTTTATTTTGCCTGAGCTACCTATGGGGAGTCCTCTTCCTGTGGGTTGGACACTCCTTGAGGGCAGACACGCTGATGTGGCCACTTGTTTTCCCCTCGCCTGGAACCCCCTTGCAACCCAATAGCTCACTAGATGAGCACTTTCTGAATTGGGTTGGAATTGCAATAGCCAGATGGACAGACCTCTGCTCGTGCATTATGGGGGTAAGTGATAATGGCGTGGGGACATTAAGCATTTTTGTTTTTGTTATAGAATGTTACAGTGAAAGTGAACAGGATGATCCAGAAATAGCCGTGGAGACAGCACCTCCTCCTAACTCTTCGGAGACTCTGCCCCCCTTGGTATGTACCCACCTAATTAGTCTGCTGTTCATTTGATGTGCATGGATGTCATGACCTCCAATTGGGTAGACATGACCTTGACTGGTAAGTTTTTCAAACAGGCTAAATTAAGATACTTGCCAAAGAACAAGCGCAATTCTCATGGCACTGATTTTGAGCCTTTTCCATAGCAACCCACTCGTATGACAAACTTTGAGTCCTTGTGCGTGACCCACAGATGTATCATTCTCAGAGGATTCACAGTTAATGCAGAGGGCTTCTTGGTACTAGGCCAGTGCTTGCATAGACTCATTTTATAAAGTTTATTTATAGCCTTACTTACTCTCAGAGAGAATTGAAAGGGCCATGCCTAGGTGCCTGTGCTATAATGTGAAATGAATGTAAAAGGGATAAAGATACCAGCATTAAGAGAAAGCTAGAGTTAGAAAGAGAGCTGGAAGCCAGGAGTGGGTTTAATGCATTAAATCTGCACATGGAATGATTCTGCACATTCACTAGAGAATAGTGCAGGTGTGAGTCTAAGCTTTGAAAGTATCCAATGTAAGTTCGGTTTACTAATGGACTTTTGTTTTGCCAAGTCCTGGATTTAAGGTGTTAAATATCAATTAGATAGCGACCTCTCCTGTTTTATTGACCCTCTGCCAGTGCAGGATATGGTCACTTTTTGAATTTATTTGGCTAGCAGCCAAACCATAAATAAATATTTACTGAATGAAGATTTAAAAAAATATATATTAAATAGGATTAGCCAAAATTAAATGAGATATCAATAAAATAAAATTTTGAATATGGTAGATTTTGGACCAGTTTTTGAACTAGTCTTGCAGTTGATCCTTTCTTCACACATTCATAGCTTTTTGTTAACGTAGTCTTCCTCTTTTGAAATCAGTCTCTGAATTGTGAAAAATTTTTATTTTTATCTGTGTCAAACGTAATGATACCTCCAGCTCTCAGAGGGTCTCCCCACTCTGCACAGAGTTCTTATTTGATTACCCTTTATTGCTCCTAAAGAAGTTGAGGAGGTCTTTCATAGATGTTCCTTGTGGATTTAATAGCGAAGCATATGTTTCAGTTGAATTTCTCTCTCTTTCTCCTATTTAACCTGTAACATAAAAGGATTGGTTGGTTCTCCCTCCTTGTCTTCCTGAAATTCCTTCTCTCTCCTATGGTGCCCTGTATATGACTCTTGTATGATTTAGTTTGGTTCTAAAATACTGTGATTTTCTTTTTTCTTTTTTAATGGCAAATTAGTATCATAGATTAGAAGCATTATCAGGTACCCAGGACTTTACTTGGTGAGAGTAAATGAAACCAATTATCATCTTAGATCAGTGGTCAGCAAAATGTGGCTCCCGAGCCACATGTGGTTCTTTGGCCCCTTGAGTGTGGCTCTTCCACAAAATACCATGGCCTGGGCGAGTCTATTTTGAAGAAGTGACATTAGAAGAAGTTTAAGTTTAAAAATTTGGCTCTCAAAAGAAATTTCAATCGTCGTACTATTGATATTTGGCTCTGTTGACTAATGAATTTGCCGACCACTGGCCTTAGATGAAGGGTCATGACTCAGTTGCATTGTGCGGTGACCGTCTCACATGCTGTCACAGGGAATGCTGTTTTAAAACAAATAACTGAAAGGGTGCTTATGAGACCAGTAAGTTAGGTCATTGAAGTGGAAGGATCCTTTAGAATTTGGGGGTCATCACTCATATGTTATTTCTTCAAGTTCTATGTTGAGCATTTTCTGGAAGGCCACAAAGACTAACATTTTTCCCCCCTGAAGAAATATGTTAGAAATAGATAAATATTGAAGAGCTAGATTTTATTTTTCTTAGAAATAGAATATGTTCCTCATTCCTGCATATTTCCCAGGCAGATTTTGTTTTTGTTTCTTCTTGTTTCTGAAAAAACAGACATGTAAGACACTTGGTTAACATAACATTTAAGCTTTTTTTTTTTTTAAACAGATGAAATTTAAAAAATCATAGTAACTTTTTCCAGAGTGTGACTCAAGTTATTGTTTTGGCTCAGTCTAGCGTAGTCTAGCTTTGATGGAGCTATACAAGCGTAGGTGAAAACAGTACCCTCCCACCACCCCCACTCAGTTCTTGTTTTTTTTTTTTTTTTTTTTTTTAAAGTTGGGTAATAAACTTTCTTTTGGAATGATGAACTCAAAAGTATAAAAGCATATTATTCTGGAAAATTTTCTCAAAAATTTTAAAAATCTTGACCTAAAAATTTAGCCTAATATCCAGTCATTCTAATGACCATGGAGGAAAGAGAAGCTGTAGGACCTCAGCACCACATCCACTTGGACCTCTGCTTCTAGTGGCTGAATCACAGGGGACACGGCAGGGTCTTCAGTGAGTGAACAAGAGGTGTTTGTTTATGTTCCTTTTCCTTGAGGAGACTTCACAGGGCGGGACATTCATTTATTCACAGAGAAATCAGAAATGGGAGCTTTCTGACAGGCCTAGTAAGACAGCTCAAAATAGATAGGAGTCTGTAGGTTTCACGGAAGATCATATGTAGAATTCACTATCCATGATTCCCTGGAATCACAAAAAAGCAAAACAGGTCACCTTTAAAACCCAATATTATAAATTACAAAGTGATTTAAGAGCTGTAAAAATCTATCCTGCATACTGGGTGGGGCAACGATTGTTTGTATGGAAAATAATACAATAATGAATAAATAATAATATAAGAATAAATTGTGTTTTGCATACTGAAAACTGTAAACCTACTTTTGCTCTACCCTGTATTTTCCCTCTAAACTTAATTTTTAAAAAGCATTGCCTGGAAACTTGATCTGTGAGTATATGCTTATTAATTCATTTAACAAATATTTGCTGAGAGCTATTGTCCTAAATAGCTCTCAGCAAATATGGCACATATCAGTGAATAAAAAAGACACAGACTCACTCCTTTCTGGACCCAGACTTCCAGGCGAAGGAAACTGATGCTTATTGCCTGCTGTGTCAGTAGAAGTAGAGCAGGGTGAGTGAGGGAGGGCAGGAGTGCTGGAGGTCAGATTGTAGCAATGAACCGGAAGCCAGGACTGGCCTGGGTGAGAGCTGAGATTTGAACAAACTCTGGAAGGGCGTTGAGTCAGCCGGGTGGATTTTGAGGGAAGGAGTTGCCAAAGCCTAGAGGGCAGTTCAAGCCAAGCTCTTCTTGGTGCATTGAGGATGATGCAAAGAAGCCAGAGTGGTAAGAGCAGGTGACAAAGATGAAAGCGGCAGGAAGTGAGGATGACTAGTGGTGGCCATATCCTGTACAGCCTGCACTGTTTGGAGTTTGTTAGGGAGCCTTGGGAATGTTTGAGCAGAGGAGTGAAGCGATCAATTTCCATTTTGAAAGGACTATTCAGGTTGTTGCGTGGGAGAGACCGTGAAAGGCTACATATAAACGCAAAGAAATCTAGTGAGAGACACAGTGGTGATTCAGAGAAGGAAATAGATGGGACATGAAATGGTCAGATTTTGCATAGAGTTAGGCAGACCACCCAACAGGTGATCCACGTGGGTCAGACACAGGAGAAAATGAGAATCTAAATGTTGGTCATGCCAGCTGCAGGAAGCTCATGCAGATCACTGTTAACACGGCAGTCACATAGTTGGCTGTTTTTCACAAGCACAATTCCTTTATAGTCAAACGATGGGGGGAAAAAGTCAGCTAAGAAGAGATAAGTAAAGACAAACCCTGCACACTGTGGACAGTGGCAGAGGAGGAAGTCTCTTAAACACAGGAAGTGGTAGAATCAGTGTTAGAAATGGAAATGTAATCCTGGTAGGATAAATCTTGCACAACTGTTAACTAAAGTTTACTTGATCTTTTGATATACTATATAAAATAATTCTAATGTACTATATGAAATAATTCAAATGCTTGCAAGGGAGACAGTTGTAAAAGAAGTATCAGTGATTTCATATTTCATAAAAAGAAAATTGCATGCTTTCTCTTTAAGGTGCAAAAAGAAAGTATCATAAGCTCTCCGGTTTGAACATTTCACTGGCTTTCAGATCCTTCTAAAATTGGCTCTTACATTTTTGTTTCTTGCTCTAACAGCTCATCTTCTCAGCCTGCTCTTCTGGCAATCAGTCACAAGATGTGCTGGCTGTCCCTCACCCTGTCTGTGTCTTCCATCCCCACTGCCATCCCCCTGTTTGGGACCACATTAGCTGTTGCCTGGGTTATGGAAATCGAAGGCTAGTTTTCTTTCTTGGTCTCTAATCTCGCCTTTTAGAATCCACACCCAAATTGATCTTTCTAAAGTGCAGTCCGATAATATGGATTCACCTAGGACAGCCTTTCTGTAAACCCTCACTGCTTATCAAATTAATTTGGGCTCATTGGATGATATGTAAGGTACTGGGCTTCCTTTAAGCCAGCAGTATTGTCTTGATGCTGATTCCTCCATTGTCTTCACCTCAATGAGCTGCCAGTTATTTCCCCAAAAACTTTCCAGACTTTCCTGCTCTCGCAGGCTGGAATTACAAAGTTTCTCCACTTGCGGGAACCTCTTACCCCCACCCGAATTCCATCTTCTAAATATCTTTCAAGACAAGTTCAACGGTGACTTCCTTCATTAGAGCTTCCTTCGTCCGTTAAGTCAGGATTTGCCGTCCTTCTTCTGAATCCTTTATACTCCTATAGTGCATAGTTTTTTGATACCTTTAAACCTGTCTTGTTATTATTGATTTTGTATATCTGTTGTTTTTCTCTAATTATTAAATTCTTTTTAAAAATATATATATTTTATTGATTTTTTTTTTTACAGAGAGGAAGAGAGAAGGACAGAGAGTTAGAAATATCCATGAGAGAGAAACATTGATCAGCTGCTTCCTGCACACACCCTCCTGGGGATGTGCCTGCAACCAAGGTACATGCCTTTGACCAGAATTGAACCTAGGACCCTTCAGTTTGTAGGCCAACACTCTATCCACTGAGCCAAACCGACTAGGAGCTATTTATTAATATATATTCTTTTTTACCCATAC